CTGGCGGCGATAGCGGCGTAGGGGCACAGGCTGTAGAAGCAGAGCTGCTCGTCTGTGAGCTGGTGAGGGTTTGCCAGCCCATCCTGGAGCATTCGTCTTTCTCACGCCATGCCCTCCTCTTCAACAAGATGAGCTTCTTGCCTTCAAATCTCGAAGTGACCGCGCAGCTGCTACAATAAAGCGTACCCTATACGTTCTTGCTGCTCATGCTCTTACTCCCTGCTCCGTTGCTGAGCCCCCCCCTCACTCCTGCCGCGCAAACGGGTGAGCGGTGTGAGAGATCAGAGTCGAATCGCCACCGCGGTGGTTACAACGCGATGGCCCGTACACCAACTCAAGAAGCTGGCCAGGTCTACACACCAGGAAATCGCAGCTTTCTCATCCAAGACCGTCGGTGTACTACTCGAAGGTTGCCGAACCATATGATTAGGTCGCGTTCGCTGTAAAGCTCAAGTGCGGATAATACCGACGATCGGATCTCTCGGACGGCTTCGCTCCTCCCTGTCCCTCTTCTCTCCTCCTCCTCCTCCTTTTCATCCTCCCCGCCTCCTCCTCCTCCTCCTCCTCTTCCTCCTCCTCCTCTTCTCCTCCTCCTCCTCCTCCTTCCTCCTCCTCCTCCTCTTCCTCCACCCCTTCTCCTTACACGTGACTCCTCCCTGTCACTCCCCCAGACGTGTCAGTAGGGCGGGCCGGGCGTTTCGCCTGAGACTCCCCTACCACTCATGACGCTGAAGTTTGAAATTTGCAAAACGTGTCGCGGATGGAGGGCGGGCCGTTTTCAAAATGTGGCTCTCGCCTGTGCGCCGCGCATTCTTGTCTTAAACATGTGCAGCGGCCTCACGGATGGAGGGCGGGCGGTTTCCAAACTGTGGCTCTCGACTTAGCGCCGCGCAAATGCCTTACACTTTCGCAGCAGTTTCGCGGATGTAGGGCGGCTCCTTTTCAACATGTGGTTCTCGCTTTAGCGCCGCGCACACTCGTGTTCAACGATTGCAACCGTATCAAAGATTCCGATGGCTGATGTCCCAGGAATTGTGTTCTGGCGCCTTTCGGGATTGCCCGGACGCAGCAGTCACGTTGATTCGCTATGCTAGAGTCCCAGGGATGGTGTTCTCGCACGACTTCGGGTTGCCAGGACGAAAAAATCACGTTGATTCGCAGCGCTGAAGCCCCAAGACTTTTGTTTTGGCACGATTCAGGACTTTCAAACGGTTGTCTTCCAATGTGGCACTTTCCGCAATTATCATTAGGGGGCGTATAAGGAGGGAGCTTGGAGAGAGGGCTTATTGCAACATCGTTGGTGCGTCTTGGGCTTACGTCGGTGATCCTCCTCTTCAACCTCCTCCCCTACCCCCTCCTCCTCTTCCACCTCCACCTCCTCCTCCCCCTCCTCCTCCTCCTCCTTCTCCTCCTCCTCCTCCTCCTCCTCCTCCTCCTCCTCCTCCTCCTCCTCCTCCTCCTCCTCCCCCTCCACCCCCTCCTCCTCCTCCTCCTCCTCCTCCTCCTCCTCTTCCTCCGTAGCCATTTTGGCTCAAACCATTTCGGTTCAAAGTGTTGGTTTCCCCTGGGAGCCGAGTGGGTACCACTAGTCCGCGGCCAGGCAGAAGGTTTATCCTTCGGCATCCTTTTTGCGCGGCCTTCACTGCGGGATTTGGGCCCCCACTCCTCCAGCTCTGCAGTGTATGCCATGCCGTGGACTTGGACGCATGAGTCCCGCCCGCCGTGGCGCCGTGCTGACCCCCAGCCTCGCCGTGATGCGGTGCGTGGTCGGAAGCGCCCTGGTGATGGAGCTGACACCGCGCCGCATGCAGTGTGCAGCAAATGTGGGCATTGGGAGTACCGATCACGTGGGCATGTCGCCTGCAGCAAGTGCTCCTCGGCCTGCCTCGACCACAGTAAGAAGCAGAAGAAGGTGTCGTTCAGTTAATCGACTGCGGCGGCCGACTCGCTTGAACTCGACCTACCTGGTCAGGCCAGTGCTGCGGTCGCTCAATTCCCTGGGTTTCGCGAACTCCTCGCCAACCACCTGCCGCCCCCGCCGCCGCCCATTCCTCGGACTGATGGCCAGTTGGATGCGGCCGTTGCGGGTGAGCGCCTGGCGTTGGTGAAGCAGGTGGAGGAGGCGGCCAACGCTGAGCGCCTGGCCTGGCACAATCGTTCTGGACGTCAGGTGCACTTCCCAGGGCCCGCGACAAGGTCAAGCTGTCGGAGACTGCCTTCGGGGAGGCATCGGCCCAGCTCGCGAAGGCCCAGGCTGCGCACGTCGTGGCCGAAGGGGGGCATGATTCTTTCAACGAGGACATCTACAAGCAGGAGGAGAAGGATGCAGCGGCGGCGGCGCAGCGTGCGGCTGCGCAGTCCCCCGCTCGTGGTGCTGCCGCTGGCCATGGGGCTGGCGCCTCTGGTGGAGGGTCGCCAAGTGGTGCAGGTGATCATCATGATGATGCCTCTGCTCGTGCTGGTGCTGGTGCTGGTGTGCCTGTCCAAAGGGGTGTCGATCGTGATGTGCTGGGCACGTTGCATATGCTGTCTGATGACGAACTACGCAAGCTCGCCGACTGCACCAAGGTGTCGTATGATGATTGGTGTAACCTTCGTCCTGCCCAGAAAACTGCCCATACCTTCCTGCGTGCTGCTGGTCCTGCGCGTGCCCCTCCTCGTGATGCTGACGCGCAAAATGCAACTGCCCCAGATGTTCCAATGACCCGGGTGGATGGGGCAGACGTACCAGTGCCTGACCCCGATGATGATGGGGATTTGGAGGAGCCTGAGCGTAAGACCCCCAGTGAGTTGCGCGAGCGTTACACTGAAAATGCACAGCCAGCCGACCTTTAGAGGTTGGAGGCTCTGTTGGTCAAGAAGTTGCATTCTCAGGCGTATGAGAAGCTCAAGGTGGCTGCTAATGCTACTGACATGCGGGCCAATGCTTTTGCTCACCTGGCAGCCCCCCAACCTGTGCCAGGCACGTCGTTGGTTTGACGAGGCTCTGGGGGCGAAGGCATTTTGCACATCAAGTTCTGCAGCGTGACTAGCTGGTCAAAGTTAGCCAAGTCTGAGCTTGCTCACGCAGTTGGGAACGTTGAGGTGTATCATTTTGCTGAGCACCATCAGGGCCCTGACAAGCAAAGGCTGCGAAGGAATATTGCTATTCTATGGGATGGCGGCAGCACTTCCAAGCTGCCCTTCCCTCGCCAGGTGGAGGCTGGCATGGTGGTGCTGGAGCAGTTGTCCAGAGGGGGGTCTGCTGCAAGCGGTTCCTGCGTGCGTTGCCCGTTGGGGTTGAGGACGTTGGCCAAGGACAAGGGTGGTTCTTCCTGGAGTTGAAGACTAAACCATGTACCCTCGCCCTTGGGGTGATCTATCTTGTCTCGGGAGTTGATGCTTCTGGGGTCAATCTGAACCGTCTGCATGAGGTGGTCGAGTTTCTTGGGATGTTGGAGTGCCCCTGGGTCCTCCTTGAACATTTCAATATGGCGCGCCTGGAGCTCCACCAATGTGGTTTTTGTGAAGTTGTCTCGGGTGCTGTGGTTGATCCCCGCAATACGGATTTCACTTGTGAAGAAGGGGAAGGGCGCCTGATCGATTATGCAGTAGTGTCGCGTGACCTAAGCCAGCATGTGATTATGGACGCAGGCTGGAGATCAGCCTTTAAGACACACGCCTGCTTGCATGTGCACTTGCCTCTCGACGTGCTGTGCAACGCGGTCATGAAACGTGAGAGGTCCAACCCCATTGTTACCCACCATGGGCCTGGTGAGGAGTGGTGTGACTTCCTTGACTGTGCTGGTGAGCCAATCGTGTGCGTTCCGCCTGAACTCCGCGCTGCTTTTCTCGAGTTGCATTGGCCTCGGCGCCAACCAGGACGGTCGGGTGAATATCGATGATGGTCGACTGCGGCTGAACTGCCGTTCTGCTCCCGAGCCCTCCAACAGTCTTCGGATCTTGGCAAGCGTCGGGGGAGAGCGGTGGTACTGCAGCAGACCCTCGTCGCACGTGGAATGCTCAAACGAAGTTTCTCTCACCCGTGCCTGGCTTTTTGGACGTTGATCTCGCCCCGACTTTACGACTTTGCAGTTGTCTTGAAGCGTGCAAATTCTACCCAGGTCGCCGCTTTCAGGACTCTCCTGCGGGGGCGTAGTGGCGAGGTGGGCCGACACCTTGAAGGCCTTGCTGATGCCCAGCAGGCTAATGTGTGGGCTAACTGGTTGACCGATCTGCCCCAAGACCCTCGGCAACTTGACGTGCTCCAAGGTGTCTTGATCCCCGTCCTTCGTCGCGCGTGGGACGTTGCTCGAAAAGCTAACCGTGAGGGTATCCAGGCCTGGTTGAGTCGTGGGTTAATTGGGGGAGCTAGAGTGATCCATCGATGGTTGAGGGCTGATGCTGGCAAGGAGGTTGAGGCATTTGTTTCCCCCTCGACGGCGGCGCAGACCCCCCAAGAAATGATGTCCCACCGCGAGCGGTTCCGGGCTGAGTGGTGGACCCCCTCAATGAGGCAAATTGGGGACTTAGAGCACGGCATGCGACGCCTTAGGCCTGTGGCGGAGTTGGCCACCTTGGAGGCCAGCAGCATCGAGGTGCAATCTGTTCTCCGAGCCTGTAGGTGTTTTTTTCTGGGGACACTGCCCTTGGAGTGGATGGGTGGTCCCCGCGCGCCCTGCTCCAGCTTTCCATTGACGCGCTTGATGAGATGGCTGTCTTATTTAATCGCATCGGGTTTGCGTTGGAGTTTCCGCAGCAGGTGTATCTTTGTCTCGTCGCAATGCTTCCTAAGACGGCCAGTGCGGAGCGGCCAATGACGAAGCGTCCCACTCTGCACCGTATGTGCACTCGTATTCGAGGGAGATTCGCCCAGGACTGGACCGACTCCTACGTGGCTTTCTGGGGCGCGGCTGTTCAAACATCGTCGGCCTTGAAGGCTGCCATGCTGCGTGGGGTCCCGCGCGATGCTGCTCGTGAGGATGGTGGGTTCTCGGTCTCTGGCCACTGGGACATGGGGAAGCTTTTTGATGCGATTGACCCGAGCAAGTTGATAGGTCTTGCTCTTGCGGTGCACTACTCCCCTGTCCTCCTGTACCTTGGC